AACTATCACAATTAGACAGATTCCTTTTGAGAATAGGTTGTTTTTATTTTTGAATTTTTTTGGTAAGCCTTGAATTGTTCCCTTTCCTCAATTGTTTTTCCTCTTTTCTCTTTTTTAACTTAACAATTCATTGATTTTTGGATAATCAACAGTGATAAACTGTTGGCAATGATTCTGGTAAATAGAGGTTATTATCAATCTATTAGGAAAATGTAATATTGTTTTCAAAATTTGACTTAGAGTACTTTTGTATAAAGACAAGTTAGTCATGTTGCGAAAGTCTGTAAAATATTGTAGTGTGATAAAAATAGCATCTACTATTATTGGATAGTTATTTTTAGTCATGATCTTCATTCTATTTCTATTTTTATCTATTTCTTTGATATTCTTTGATATTCTTATTGGTACTTGATTAGCGTAGATCACTTTATCAAATATAGTACGTAACATAATTTACTGTAGATCAGGTAGCCCAGAAGGCCTAGGAGGCCCAAGTGATCCATTTTTACAAATATATAAGCAGTCATAATTCACTTAAAAGTAGGATAAGTTTATAGCTTCACTTGACTTTGGAAGTTTAGGAATAATTTCACTTTTCCTCTAGGAGATTGGATATCTTCTTTTGATTTTAGGACTAAAGGAATTGTCCTAGTTTTCTTGATTTATTAATAAACTTGAATTCTGAGCGAACCATATTTATTTGAAAACACTTTATGACACTGTTTAAAGGATTCTTGGTAAATCTCTTCTTGAATAATTCTTTATTATAAACCACTTCTTTAAATCTTTCTTTGGAAATTGTCCTTTTAAAAGCAATTCCACTTGGACACACCGGTCAAATATAAATTTGATGACAATATATATAGATTAATGATAATCTATCACAATTAATTTTAGTGAAATCTACTACTATTTTTTGAGTGGATAAATCTAATTATAAACTAGATAATTAATATATAATCATCAATAATATGACTAGACTAATTAATATTGAGTTTATAAATTTTATATTTTATTAAGCTAGTTCTTTTTGTATATATCTAATAGAATTTGTTACATTTTTTAATATTTTTAAATATTATTTATTCAAATCTTTGAAGAAAGTATTTTGTCTTCTTTATTATTATTTATAATATCAAATCAGTTTCTATTAATTTATTTTTATTTATGTAAAGTATCAAATTAGAATATTCTAAGCTAAAAGAGCAAAAATTCTAGAGTTTATCAGAATAGAAAGATTGAGTTGTTTATAATAGATTAAATCAAAAGTTTTTTTCATATAATATTTTTGATAATATGATCATAAACATCAATCCTTAATTAAGAAATATAAAAATTTTTATCTTTATATAATCTAATTTGATTTAAGCTTGTTTTGAATAATTAAGTATAACTTTCATAGAATAATCGATAAACTTGATCAAAAAGTAATTTTTGATTTTAATTTTAAGTAATATTGAATTATAAACCTTATAATTATAATATAAAAATATTATTATTATAATATTAATCCATAGGAAAACTCTTTCTACTGATCCTCTGACTATACACAAAAAAGATGTTTACAAGAAGTTTTATACTTCCTTGTTAATAAAGCCTTTATACTTTCATTAAAACAACTTGAAGCTTGTTTTTATTTATCTCTTTTACCATTCCTTACTTGTTTATAAATTTCTTTGAATAAAAACTTGAGCCTTTAGTAACCTAAAAGATGCAAGTACATACTTCCTCTATTAAAAGCAAGAATGTTCTAGGAAGTAAAAGGATTGACAAGTGGAATGTTACCTTACAGAGCTAGAAGTAATAAGAAATAGAGGTTTTGTTAACAAGAAAAGACTTATTATCCACCTTCTTACATACTATCTTGTACTTTCTTAAAGTGTCTATTATTTTTCATGGTTTTCTTGAGGAATTTTGCCTACCTCAGTTCGATCTTGAATTTCTGGTAGTATAATGTCACCTGGTATTTAATTGGTTGACATGAAACATATTAGTAGCTGAATTTAAACAAGCTCCTATTGGTTACCTCACATATTCTAATAATATCATTGGTGATAGAAAGAGAAATCAAGGATATGAATTCTTTCCCTTCTCCAAATGAAGTTTAACTGAAGCAAAGAAATCATAAGGCTATTAAGATAGGCACTAAATTCCTTAGGTGATAAAAAGATGATTATTTGTTCAAGCTAAAATCTTCAATTCCTTATTATCTCAGTCAAACAAAATATGTGAAGAAGATTATTTTCTTATTCATGATTAGGCTATAAGACTGAAAAGCAGAGAAATATAAAACACTGTCCTTCTTTAAGATTGAGAATGTATTTCTCCAGACATTGTGTAATAATATCACAATTAAGATGAATATCAGTAAAATTTTTTTAACTAGGTGTGGCCACTGGAAGATATCGGGAGTTATTCAATAAGATTAAAAAGTCACATAAGAATCTAGAGTCTATTATTAATTATCTTTTTTTGTGTGGGTGAATATAAAATCAAGATCAAAAGAAAGAAAGTATTAAGCAAGACCTGGATCCGAGTAAACAATAAGTACTTCAGATAGTCACAAGAAAATAATTAAGAGCACAGATGAATAAGTTTCTCAGATAGTTAGGAAAAAAAAAGATATTCTAGAAGGATTATCTTTTAATAAGAAGAGGTTTCTAGCAGAGGTTCTTTGGAGAACATAAAGTATTTTTATTTTTTATTTTTATTTTCATATAACCCAGTTGTGCATTTTTAGATATTCCCTTTTCTTTTATTTTTTTTTATCCCTTTTGTAGTTTCTCGAATTCAGTTCCTTGGAAAATAATAAGCAGTAACAACCTGTTGGTAATGATAGATAAGTTAGAAGGATCTTTACCTAAAATTTAGTTTATAACGAAATATTGTTCTCAAAATTACATTTAGAGGTTAAAACTCTTTTGAGAATTGAAAACCATTGACGAGTGTGTTAGTATGAGTCTTTTAGTTTAGCTATGATACAATTGCCCTATGTATCTTAATTAGTTTTCTCAATGATTAATAAATACATAATACTGATCTGATCACAGGTTTAAAAAAAAAATATATTATTATTAATCCATAGGTTTTATTTTTTTATTATTATAAATTAATTTAAATATATAAGGTATATATACGTATATAGTCTATTATAATATATTGTAAAAATTTTTGAATAAATATTAACTTATAATTTTTACTTATAATTTAATAACAATAAATAGAATAAAAATTATATTTGTATTTTTAAAATAGAGTATTTAAAAAAATTTTTTTAAAAAAAAATATTTTAAAAATCATAAATGCTTAATTTGAAAATAAAGAATAGATTTTTTAAAATATTCAATTTTTGTCTATATATCACAAATAAAAAAAATTAATTTAAAATTATTTTAATAATGATTTTATTAAATAGAAACAGATAATTTAATAAATTTATTTTTTACAATTTTTTTTATTAATCATAAATGAAATTAAATAATTATCAATTTTAAAATCCTATATAGTTGTTATGATAAAATTAAAAAAAATTTTAAAATAAATTTTACATGATAAATAAATAATTTAATTATAAAAAAATTATTTGTATTTAATAAAAAAATTTATTATAGTAAAAAAATTATATTTATATTTTTTTTTTATACAGTATATAAATTCTATATATAAAATTTGTTAATAAAGTGGCACCTGTTTTTTTTTTTTTTTAATTTAAAATCAATTTTTTATAATAAAATATTAATAAAATTATATATATATATAATTATGATAAATATATTAATATTTTATTTTAATTCAATAATTATTTATTAAATTTTTTATAAAAAATATTAGTTTAAAGACTTTGACATCTGACTATATGTATATTTTAGATTTTGAAAAAATAAAAAAATAAGAAAATTAGTAAAAAAGAAACTACTTATCTTTTTCAGTAAATTTATTAAATTTATTATAATATTGTTTATATATTTGAACTTGTTAAAGCAAGATATTGTTCTAGTTACTTGATTTAATTTATTTTTTTCTTTATTAAATATAACTATTTAATATTGTTTTACAGATACTGTAAGTATCTTTTTTATATGTATACAATAATTCTGAGATTCTATTATAAAGTTTTTTATTGAAATAAATATATTATATTTTTAATTCAATTTAAGAAATTAAAATTTTATTGAAGTAATTTATTAGATCAACGATATCCTGATTGTCATGTTTTTGATCCAATCAAATATATACTGCATAGTTTGTTTCAGGAGGATTGATTTCTTTGGTACTGATTTGAAAAGCATTAGCTACATTCTTTCAATATGTTTTTCATTTCTTTTTTGGATTTGACAATCCAAGTTTTATGTTTGATTGTGGGCCATTTAATTTACTGTATATATCAGATTTATCCTTTTTTAAGCAAGTAATATGAGAAGCAAATCTTGCCAAGATGGTATCAATAGCTGAAATACACATTACAATTCGAATTTTTTTTTTTTTTTCCAAAAGAAATATATATACTGTATACTTAACTAATTAAATTATATTAAAAGGTACCAATTGAAATTACCTAAATAAACAATAAATAATTACACAATCTGCACGGTTTTTGAATCTAACCTAAAAACAAAGTCAACATCGTGACCACCACGTATTGACGAAGAGTGCAGGATTTAACACCCAACGTGTCACTGGTCATAAAGTATTTCACATCTATCGATGAAAACTTGGCTTTGTTCATCGATAATGGGGAACCCCGCAAGTATCATACAAATTTCCGATCCAACTAGTTGAACGAACGTCATGAATGTCGACTTTAATGCACATCGTTATCACCACCATCTCGCATCATTCGTTCGTTATCGTGATCGTTGATGGATTGATGGTGAGAATTGCATAAGATTTTGTGACGTCCATCGGGTGACAATTGATTTCAAGCCGTTTGTCTAGTTAATCAGTTAGGATGTCATTTTGACGGTGTGGTGTGTCTATAGTAGTACATGTTAATTACGCTATTACTCATGCAATGCGGAGTTGCGTGATGGCGTGACTGCATTCTGTTCGGGTGTAGTAGATGGCGACGTGTTCGACACATCAGCGGCTGTTTGCGAATGAGGTATTGATGGACGGTTGTCAGTTATATTTATTATGATAGATGAGTTCGAGTTGCGACCTAGTCCAGTCGAAATCCACGATAGAGATTGTGAGAGATGAGTTTCTTGCATCACACTTCCGTTTTGTTCTGGTACTGGGGGAACTGGCCTCGTAGGAGGTCGCAATTCGCCATTATTTCCGGTTGGTATTGGTGGAATAAGACGAACCGGGGGTGATGAGGTTATTATGGGAGAGTGATTCATGTCAATGGTCAAGGCGTTCGAATTCGAATTAGGCCGATACGATTGCGATGGCACCTGAACTGCTGATCCACCATCTGTCGATGAACTCGATGTAAATGTTCTAAATGATGTAGGTCTCGATTGTGTCAGTAACTCGGATCTGGGCCTAACATTCCTATTAATATTATCATCCTCCACATTCGTTATTATACCATCTAAAGAACTTGTTTTTGATATGTATGGTGGTGGAGATCCCGCATCTTGTAATGCTTTCGTGTACGTGGGTGGAGGTGTTGACAATACTTGTTCCATGTCTCTCATGTATTGATCATCTATTGTATCGTTGTCATTCCTGCTTTCCTCTTCGCCATTATCATTACCTCGTTGCTGAGATGAGGCAAATGAGCTGAAACTTCGCAGTCGATTGGAAAAAGCTCCAAATCTATAACTTGCATATGTTTGATAGGTTTCGTGTGGTGAAGATGATGATCGCATTGAAGTGGAGGATCGGTTGCCTTGTGAATAGATCATCCCCTGATTGTTATTATCACCCCGACGATGTTGTTGTGAATTCGGTGGGCCATAACAATTCAACCTTACTATGGCCTAATTAAAATTTTTGCAAGAGAGGATTAATCAGTTTCGAATAATCCAACTCATCATGTCTTAAACAAAGTCGATCAATGATAAATTCAATTCCGCATGAATAACAAATTCTGATTCAACTCACCCAATAAACCAAATATGCGAACACCAAAAATCCTGCTACCGTTATGATGGTCGACTTTGGGAATTCGTCATTATCGACGAAAGAACTTGCTAGCATCACCGTTATTATCATTATCGCAACGACTATGTAAACGCGGGTCACATATTTATGGAACTTTGGATATCGTGAATTGGTCATTTTTTTTGTTGGTGGGATCTTTTTGTGTTGGCTAATTTGTGAAAAGTAATTTCGTCTGGAAAATGGTGTATATATATATATATATATACAGTATATACAAACGCTTTTCTAGCAAGGATATACCGGAAATTTGGCTAGAATTTTTAAAGGTATTTTGAAAGGAAACGGTTGAAACAGGTCATGGATGGATTATAATAAGGAAATTCGGTATAATGGATTTACCTTCGATGCCGGTTAAATAATGAATATTCGCATCATTTTTTGGATAGAAAATTTTTTATTGTACCACATATGTGCGCATAGATTTAGCATTTACGCATGTGTTGCATATAAATCCTTCTCTAATTTAACCGATTCCATAGTTCCTTTTTTGTGTAGGGTATTCTACAAATTTATCCTAGATCAGGGGTTGTTTATGAACCAAATTTAGCCATTATGCGATTGTGATGGTATAATGAATAATAATAAAAAAAAAAAAAATCTTTTTCCAAAATTGTACGTGGAAGACGTACTCGCAGATCTCCTTTTTCATTTTTGTTATAACAAGGGCTTAATGAAATGTCGATATCATTACATCCTCGTTAATCACGTCCGTCTGGTTGGCATTGAACGTCCTTCAAATCAACGTGCGATAAGCAAAGTTGCCATGTGCGCAAATTCAAGCCTGTTTAAGATCGTATTTTGTTTCAAAATGAAATTATCCATTTCGAACATCCCTTTTTGTCTCATCCCCTGGTCATAAATTGCGGGTGCCTAGAGGTATCAAACTTTTTAAAAAAGTTTTTATTTTATTTTATTTAATTCTTAAAAAAAGCTTTAATTTATCGTATCGTGAAAAATAAAGCATTTGATTTGATTTATGAAAAATTACCTTGAATATTTCATGCCTATTATATTATAAAATATTTTAACTACCGTTGATACACTTTGGCATACCGTACTTTTAACAAGCCATTGATAGATAATTCTTTGATCAAAAATTTTAACTAGGCATTAGTGTAACCCGGGTGAGGTTTGGACATTAGACTTTGATGTTAAAAATTATTTTCCCCATACCGTATTACCACGCATTCATTATCATACTGTACAATTTAATTTATTAATCATTACGTTTATTCTCTCTTCTGCATGTTGCGGTAATTAAATAAAATTTTATTTGGCCAAAAATTCGAGAAAAAAATCAAAATCTACCCAATATCTCAAATAAAGGTTTGGCAGATATAGCAGTGAAATACGGTAAAATCATTTTGCCATAACCAAGCTGCCCGTGTGTCACATGCTTAACTTATTCATGATCTAGTGACTCAAATAGATCCCTTTTTTTTTTTTTTTTAATTTACAGTACGTGCGCAATAAACTTTGACGCACCGGTAACCCCATACCCGTGGACTATCGTACAGATAAGCTTTGTATTGATACATTGACTATGATATGTTAATTGTTTTTCCAATGATTAATTAATTAATTAATACCAATTTACATTACATTAAAAAATGAATTTACAAGCAAGACTTATAAAGACAGACGTTAACTTCATCATTTCATGCACTCATTCCAATTAGAGGATGTCTTAGTCGCCATCGACAAGTCCATCGTACTCGTTGACTCGGTTCCAATTTCACTTCCCCCATTCACCGAAGATTCAAAATTGTTATTCGAACTTTCAATCATTACAGACTCTTCATATAACCCACTAGTCTGTGTCGTTGGTGACACATGACACTGTGCATTCTCGACATCTGATAGTTGTTTAAAGAACGAATGACTTTTCCTTTTGTCTCGATCATCGTATTTGCCTTTTGCTATAAATATTGTTTTCTTTATGATGACTATGATGATCGATATGATTAATATGATGGCTATTATCGTGCCTGCCACAGCTGGGATAAAATATGGAGAGCGAGAGTCATATGGACTTATGTACGGTGGATTTGGCGGCGACGGCAAGTGCGGGTTTGCTCCGAAAGGATTGTCAGCACCATTCTTCCTATTACCCGGGACCTCTGGTGCGTTATCATCGCCAATGGGAAGTTTGGAGACTATAGCTCCTGACAAATCTAACGAACTTGTGGTCGATTTACCATTCCTGCCAGAAGCAAGTGAAGGATCCCGTATTGATGTCTGATCGAGATTCGAAGTTTGTGGTGGTTGTGCGTTGGCCGATGTCAATGACTGCACGAAGCTTGGAGTGATGCTTGGTGGTATCTGTATAGAGGCTAGTGCAGAGGTTAACGGCTGCTTTGAGGTTGGTATGACATTTGGTGACGGCCGTAGGGATGTTGAGATGCCACCAGAGGTTGTTGATATGACATCGGGAATTGACGGTTGTTTTGTCGAAGTTTGTAAATCAACTGGTTTTGGCGTTTCAGATGATATTTTGATTGGTGCGCTGTTGGTTACAGTTAGTAATTGGGTTGGCACTGATGCGTGGATTGGTGCGGAGATTGGTAGTATTTTGGATGTTATGCGGATCGGTGCGGATAATGTGGAGGTTGGCACGCGAACTGGCGGCACACTTGTTGGTACGCGAACTGGCGGTGCGGATAATGTGGAGGTTGGCACGCGAACTGGCGGCACACTTGTTGGTACGCGAACTGGCGGCACACTTGTTGGTATGCGTATTAGTGGCACATCTGTTGGTAAGTGAACTGGTACGTTCGTTGGCACATCTGTTGGTAAGTGAACTGGTACGTTCGTTGGCACATCTGTTGGTAAGTGAACTGGTACATCTGTTGGTATGTGAACTGGTACGTTCGTTGGCACATCTGTTGGTAAGTGAACTGGTACATCTGTTGGTATGTGAACTGG